GGCCACCGGCCTTGTGTCCAGCCCCACTGCTTGGCCTGGGCACAGCTGCCAACTCCACCATTGTAACGTCGGAATGGTACGCACTGTTTCTGTAAAGTGACATCTTTCAGATACTTCGTGGCTTTTCGTATATGCATACCTTTGATGGCCTGGGCAGTTTCACGTGTGTTCTTAAAGTGAACACGAAGATTGGAACCTCTTGATTTGCATGACTTTGTGGGGTTCTCCGGATCAAGTGAATAGCGAACCATTTTCACAGATTACCGCTAGACACTGGACGTCCGGAGTCCGCACGGACCACCGGCGGCCCGCGCCCGCCCGCCCCTACCAGTGGAGGGGCCCGGTCGTCCTCACTCCCGCCCATCACGTTCCTCTGCGAATAGCAGAGGCCGATCGGCACCGGCTTCCAAAGTCGGCGCTCAGCCACGTCCCCCCGCGTAAGAAACCATCGCCACCAGCGAGGATTTAGTAGCCTTGGGAGTTCTCCTCACCGGGTCCTGGAGGCCGCCGCCCCCGAGGCCAGGATGGTGGCGATGGCAGGAGGATTGAGCCCTTGGAGCAACACAGGAGAACCCTATTTACATAATTTCTACAATATTCAGGCTTTGTCCTGGTCTCTATGTACAGAAAGCACTGACAGTGCAGGATTAGGAAGAGAGCTTAAATAGTTAAAATAGAACTTTAAAAATTTTTTTAAATGATTTTCATAAAGACAAAAGAGAAGGAACACAGAAACAAAACCCAAAAAGGAACATAACAGAAAATAAGTATTAAAATAGTAAACCCCAATACAAACTATATTAAAAATTATATTAAATGTTAATAGACTAAACATCTCAATTAAAAGCTGAGACTATCAGAATAAATACAAAGCAAGACTCAACTATATGCTGTCTACATTTTAAATTTTAAAAAAGCATAAAAAAAGATATGCTATGCAACATATAAAATAAGCGGGGGGCCGGGCACGGTGGCTCATACCTGTAATCCCAGCACTTTGGGAGGCCAAGGCAAGTGGATCACCTGAAGTCAGGAGTTCAAGACCAACCTGGCCAACATGGCAAAACCCTGTCTCTACTAAAAATACAAAAATTAGCCAGGCATGGTGGCGTGCACCTGTAGTCCCAGCTATCTGGGAGGCTGAGGCAAGAGAACTGTTTGAACCCGGGAGGTAGAGGCCAAGATCATGCCACTGGACTCCAGCCCAGGCAACAGAACAAGACTCTGTCTCAACAAAATAAAATAGGCCAGGTGCAGTGGCTCACGCCTGTAATCCCAGCACTTTGGGAAGCCAAGGCGGGTGGGTTGCCTGAGGTCAGGAGTTTGAGACCAGCCCGGCCAACATGGTGAAACCCCATCTCTACTAAAAATACAAAAAATTAGCTGGACGTGGTAGTGGGTGCCTGTAATCCTAGCTACTACGGAAGCCGAGGCAGGAGAATCGCTTGAACCCAGGAGGTGGAGGTTGCAGTGAGCCAAGATTTCACCATTGCACTCCAGCCTGGGCAACGAGAGCGAAACTCCATCTGAAAAAAAAGGCCAGGCACAGTGGCTCACACCTGTAATCCCAGCACTTTAGGAGGCTGAGGTGGGCAGATCACATGAGTTCGGGAGTTCTAGAGCAGCCTGACCAACATGGAGAAACCCGGTCTCTATCAAAAATACAAAATTAGCCAGGCATGGTGGCGAATGTCTGTAATCCCAGCTACTTGGGAGGCTGAGGCAGGGGAATCGCTTGAACCTGGGAGGCGGAGGTTGCAGTGAGCCAAGATCGCACCATTGCACTTCAGCCTGGGCAACAAGAGCAAAACTTCGTCTCAAAAAAACTGAATAAATAAATAAATAATAAACTAAGAAGGCTGGAGTAGTTATATTAATATCTGATAAGGTGGACTTCAAGACAAAGAGTACCACATATTAAGTAAGATATTTCATAATGGTGTCAATCAGAAACTGATAATAATTAAAATATGTATATATTTAACAGCAAAGCTTCAAAATACATAAAGAAAATATTTACCAAATTAATTGGAGAGGCAGACAATTTCACAATGATAATAGGAGATTTTTTTTTGAGACAAAGTCTCTCTGTCGTCGAGGCTGGAGTGCAGTAGCACAATCTCCGCTCACTGCAACCTCCGCTTTCGGGTTCAAGCCATTCTTCTGCCTCAGCTTCCTAAGCAGCTGGGATTATAGGCACACACCACCGTGCCTGGCTAATTTTTGTATTTTTAGTAGAGATGGGGTTTTGCCATATTGGCCAGGCTGGTCTCGAACTCCTCATCTCAGGAGATCTACCCGCCTCGGCCTCCCAAAGTGCTGGGATTGCAGGCATGAGCCACCATGCCTGGACTCATAATAGGAGATTTTAGTACCTCTCTTTCAGCAACTGATAAAATACTTAGCCAAAAAAAAAAAATTCAATAAAAACAGAAATCCGTGGTTCTCAAAGTATAGACCAGTCTGTCTCAAAAAAAAAAAAACAACCCTGTCCTTTATTAACCAGTATTCTCTCCTTAATGGTACATATTTAGTAAATATACACAAATGAGTAAATATGAGCAGTGTTTCCTAACCAGAAAGAGGACTTGGATTGGAAAGTCTTGTGGTTGAACCAGGCTGGGGAGAGGTGGGACTGTTGCTCTGTCGCCCAGGCTGGAGTTCAGTGGCACAATTTCGGCTCACTGCAACATCTGCCCCCTGGATTCAAGCAATTCTCCTGCCTCAGCCTCCCTAGTATCTGGGATTACAAGCACCCACCACCATACCTGGCTAATTTTTGTATTTTTAGTAGAGATGGAGTGTCATCATGTTGGCCAGGCTAGTCTTGAACTCCTGACCTCAAGTGATCCGCTTGCCTTGGCCTCCCAAAGTGCTGGGATTACAAGTGTGAGCCACCGTGCCCAGCCTAAACTGCAGGAATTTTATGATATATCTCTAGCTGAGATCCAGTTCTGCAACTTACAGACAACCTAGGCAAAGTTACTTGTTCTCTTTGAACCTCACTTTTACCATCTGCAAAAGGGGGATAACACAACTAACTGTTCACTTCATAGGCTTGTTGAGAGGGTTGAATTAAATAATGTGTGCAAAGGGCTTAGCCCTGAGTCTGACCCACGGCAGGGGCTCAATCACTGGGAGCCATTGCTTCCACCAACTTTGGGCAAAGTGCTGAGGAGATGGACACCGACCCAGCCCTACCCTCTAGGAGTTCATTGACTGTTCCTCTCTCCTGCCCTCAGGACGTCTCACCTTGGATCCTCAGGCTTTCCTGGTACTGGATGATGAAGTACTCCTGAGTCTGTTGAAGCTTCTTCAGCTCATTCTCCGTGTCCTGTGTGACCAGTCGCAGCTCCTCAAACGTCTGGTTGATCTGCAGGTGTTTCTGGGACATGGCGTCAACCAGGATCCCAGCCGGAGAGCTACACTGGAGACAGATGGAGTGGAAATAACTCGGGGCCGAGAGGATGGGAGGGGACCTCAGGCATTAGGAAACACCAATACTACAGACCCCAAACCCCAAACTAGGGTAAGGGAAACTAGTGCAAGAAGGTAGGGTCATGTGCATCAGAAGGAGTCATTTGCCAGAATTGGGGTGGAAAAGGGAAAGAGAGAGGAGAAACAGGTGACCTCGCAGATAACGGCAGATGATGGCACCTTCAAAGTACAAAAGTCTACATCACAGCTGCCTCCACTAGAGTAATCCAAACAGGGTCCATCTAATTTCCCTCCCAGAGACTAGAACTCAACACGTCCCAGGTGTTACCTGGGTTTCCCACTAATGATCATGACCCCTCGCTCTACATTTATTCACTGACTCAATGCTACAGACTGCAGTAGATACTAGGGACATAGGGAGGAACAGGGCTGTGTGAACACACATCATCTCACTCAAGACCCCCTTGTGACTGAAGGAAGAGGGAAGAGCCTGAACCTCTCACAGGCATCCTGGAGACCCTGAAATGAAGTTAGCAGGGAGGCATCAACAAGCCTCCCTGGATCCTGCCATTCCTTCAGCACATGGCTGAAGGGGACCAAGTCCTTACAGCCTTTCCAGTGAAATGTTCTCAGAATAAAATCCAAACTCCTTCCCATGGTGCCTGCTGGCCAGGGCCCTGCCTACCTCCCGCCCCAGCTCTCTGGGGCAATGTGTGCTTTCTGTTTCTCTTCCTTGAACACCCAGGCATGTTCCTGCCCTGGGGCCCTTGCACTTATTGTTCCATCAGTCTGGAACATTCTGGTATCAGATCCTCTGGAGGCAAAGCACTTTAACTGGTACCTTTGCAGAGTGGCCATCTCTTTTTTTTTTTTTTTTTTTTTT